TGCCTGTCCTCATCCTATCTTCTTAGAAGGACCCCAGTCCTATGGGATCAGGGCCCACCCTAATGACCTCATTATACCTTAATCCCCCGCTCTTTAGAGACCCCCACCTTCAAACACAACCCCATTCTGAGATCTTGGGGTTAGGGCTTCATCCTATGAATTTTGAGGGGACAGAGTTCAGCCCATAACAGACTTAAACTGGCAGGAGAAGCTGAACCACCATGGGATCACCGCCGGACGCTCTGGTGGGATGGAGTGGAGGCCCTCACCCGGCCCCAGTCCTAGGAGGAAAAGGAAGGAGATTTTCGGCAGGCCACGCACCGAGCGCTGAGTCCACACCAGCGCTGTTCCTCAGCGTCAGGACTTCTGCCTCCGTGCCTCTCAGACCCTCAAGGGCATGCGGATCAGCCCACAATCTGCTTCTGAGCAGATTCTGGATCAGCAGGTCTGGGCGAGTCCGAAACTACGTTTCTCCAGGGTGTTGGTGCTGCTGGCCTGGGGACCTCAGATTGCAAATTCACCATGTGAACAAGAAAGACATCCTTCCTCCCTGTTTTGTCCAGTTGACCCAACCCCCCGGGATCTGAGACGTCCTCACCCCCTTCAAGAAAATCAGAGCCAAACAAGAGCTCCAGGCTGCTTCTTCCCAGCGGAAGGAGGGAAGGCAGCTTTGCACCAGCCACGGAGGACTCTGTCCATGCAGTGTGCAGATATTCCAAGTTGATGCCACGTGGGCCACCTTCAGAGCAGCCCTGTCAGTAACCCCAGGAAACTCCAAGGGATGGTCATGGGTCTTGAGCAGAAACAGCTCTGTTCTCTTGCAAAAGGAGATCTATCACCTTTTGGGTATGACTTGCATGCACATGGGACCTTGCCCCTTCCCCAGAGACCTCTGAATACAGTGAATCTGACCTCATATTTACACAGAGCCTTAAAAACTAGAGAGGCTGACGGACGTCATCTGGGGTGACGACACTAGATGCTCCCCACGTGCCCTGGATAAGAGGCAGGGGCTCCCCAAATTGCCGACGCAGGAGGACCACCTGCAAAGCTGAGAAAGCATCCAGAGCGGGGCCCAGGACTCTGCATGTTGACCCCGTCCCCCAGCAATCCTGATGCCCACTGCCCAGCAAAGTTTCCCAACTACCTCCCCCGAGTATCAGCACTTTGTCCAGATCATATTTTATTGTGATCCACAAGGATAAAAACAAAATATCGGAAGAAAACGTTTTGAAAACTCTTGAGAATTTGCTCCAGGGTCGCCCCGGAAAGCCATCTGAACACTCACAGCAGAAGGCACAACACTTTGCACGCTTTGCCCCCTTGGTTCTCCAGAATGTGGCAATTTCTACAGCAGCTGTGCTCACCAGAGACAGCCCCCTCAAGGGCGTAGCTCAAGGTCACAGGGAAAGTGGGGATACTAAAAGATTTAACAGCCCTGGCTCCATTCCAGTCCTGCGACAGAAACAAACACAGGAGTATTTCTGACGATGCAGCTGAGGGAGCCTGGGGGGCTGAGAACAGGCAGAAAGACCTTGGAACCCTCTGGAAAACCTGCAGAGTTGGCATCTCAGGCACGGGAAGTGGAAACATGAACCCAGATGGTTCATATTTTGTGCCAGTGTGGCCAGGCTTCAGTGCCCAGACGTTTGGTCAAACGCTAGTGTAGATGTCACTGTGCCAGTAAGTTATCAATGGGATTGCCATCTGCAATCACGTGCTGGGAAAGCGTATCACCCTCGGTAATGTGGGTGGGCCCCTTCTGATGTGATGAGGCCTTAAACGCAATGAGTGAGGTTTCCTGGAAAAGAAGGGAGTCAGACTCAACATGGCAGGTCGCATCCGAGCTGAGTTTCTAGCCTGCCCTCAAGGTTTTGGACTTGCCATCCCCACAGTCCTGTGGGGCAATTCCTTAAGACAAATTTGAGTCTATAGATTGACGATGATGATAATGATGATGATAATGATAGATAGAAGATAGATAGATAAATGAATGGATAGATGGGTGGGTGGGTGGATGGGTAGATGAATAGATGATAGATAGATGGATGATAGATAGATAGATAGATAAATGATAGATAGATAGATATGATGGATGGGTGGATAGATGGGTAGGTGGGTAGAATGATGAATGTATGGATAGATAGATAGATAAATGATGGCTGGATAGATAGATGAATGGGTGGATGGATGGATGGATGGATGGATAGATGGGTGGCTGGACGGATAGATAGAAAAGTGATGGATGGATGGATGGATGGGTGGGTGGATGGATAGATGGGTGGGTGGATGGATAAATGATGTATGGTTGGACAGATAGATGAATGGATGGATGGGTGGGTGGATGGATGGATGGATCAATAGATGGATAGATAGATAAATGATGGATGGATGGATAGATAGATGAATGGACGGATGGATAGATGGAAGAATGGATGGATGGATTGATATATAAGTGATGGATGGGTGGACGGATAGATGGATAGATAGATGAATGGTTGGATGGGTAGATGGGTAGATGGGTAGATGGTGGATGGATACATAAATGATGGATGGATAGATGAATAGATTGACAAATAGATGTACGTATGTACAGGTGGACAGATAATAGATGGATAATATTTAGATACATAGGTCAGACACACAGACAGATGGAGTCTCTCGTGCTAACATGAGATTTCTCAACCTGAGCACCAGCAACATTTGGGGCTGGATCACTCTCTGACATGTGTGGCAGACATTGGGCAGCATCCTCAACCTCCACCCATTTGAGGACACCAGCCAACCCCCTCACAGTTGTGACAGCCCACCATGACTCCAGATATTGCCAAGTGTCCCCTGGGGGCAAAGTGGTCCCTAGCTGAGACAATGGAGGGCTGCAGCATGTCTACCTAGGGGATGTGCCTTCTGGCCTGGCCGTGCTGGCTGATGATGCATCACTGAATGGGGAACCCCAGAATAGCTGTCCCCTTATGCCATGGATCGGTGAGTCCCCCCCCCCAAGGGTATACCGGATGGCCCGGTGCTTGCTCATCATCCCTTCAAGGGAGCCTTGACTCTGCATGGAGTCACTCTGGGTGCTTTTGAATCTACAGGTCCCGAGCCTCACCCACATACCATATGAGCATCTCAAGGGGCAGGGCCTTTAATCCAGCTCCCTCCCAGGTGACTCGGCACACCAAGGATTGAGAACCACTGCCCTACATAGCTGGGCAGGTTCGGCCCCACTGATGGGCATGGTGACAAAACAGCGTTAAATGACCCATCTGGGGCTTGGCCTTCCCACCCACAGATCAGCTAGATCAAAGGTAGTTTGGGGGCCACGAGGAAAGAGGCAGAATTAAGGGAGACTCTTGATTGGTTCTGGGGTGCAGCCAGCGTGGGCTGGAGTTCCGTGGCCCAGCATGGCCTGGCTTGTTGCCTTGGGCACGCCTCCCACCCTCCGAGTATCACCAAACCACAAGGCCCCACAGAGCTCAATGCAGCACGTGATGCAATAATATAATAATATATTACAATAATATATATACGAGATAATATATATTTAAGGGGGAAAGACACATAAAGATAGATATAAATAGTTCCTTTTTTCTCAACGGACCCAAAACCACAAGCTGGCCTTGGCAAGTCTCATTTCTGATTCTGCTTCCTCATCGTGACCTCAGGCAACATGATGGAACCTCACCCCATGCCTCAGTTTACCCATCTATAAGGTGGCGGCAAGCACGGCACCATCATCGGGCTGCGTGAAAATCAGCTGGGAAGCTGATGTGTGCGTGGGGTGCAGGAAGCGTTGCCCTCACGGAAAGAACTTGGTGCACGTGGGCCGGTGCTGGGGCCTCACCAAGCGCACCTGCTAAGCACCCAGCGGACATTCCCCCAGATGCCCGACGAATCACGTGGCTCCTGAAGGAATTTGCCTTCCGTGTCCCTAAAGCATCAAATGGACGGCACTGTGAAGGTCTAGTTGTCCCGAGGGGGTACGCTCAACCTCCTGCTGTCCCCGCACGGTGACGAGAGTCAAGTCTGGGACGCGCTTTCCTGGAGCAGGGGCTGGGTTTGCAGCTGGGCATCTCTGCGTTAACACTGGGGCTCTGCCCTCCGGCTCCTGGGCGGATAAATGTGGGGACTGGTCTCTCCCTGCACACAGGAGCTCCTGAATGCATTTCGTGCTGGGTGAGATAGCCAGCTGACCCTCAGCATCCCATCGGCCCCCAGACAACCAACGCCTCTTCCCAAGAACACACCTCGAACAGGATAAATGGAACACGCCACAACAGGGACATCTGAATTCAATCCTGCCACTCCTAACCAAGAACACTTCCCAATCCTCCAACCCACCCGGCCTTCCGTGCTTGCAAGGAGAATATTAAAATGACCAGAGGGGCTGTTTGGGTCCCGTTTCTCATGAGCTCATTACAGTTCCTAAATAGCCTAAATAGCCGCCTGCCCCACCCTCCAACAAACCAAACACCCCCACCCCCCCCGCCGCCCCGCATCTGGGAGACAGCCCGTGAGCTCCAGCTCCGGCTTTGTGCGTAAACAATTCACATGACTTTCTTTTGCAACAAGGAAGGATGACATTTATCCAGAAGGCTGCAGAATCCAAACCCGTGTACCCGACGAAAACGGGCAGAACTAATCTTTTCCATCGGGAACAAGGAATTTAAAAGACCCCTCGCATCCCGTCGAACTTAAATCACGGGGTAGGGCGGGCTGTGTTTGAAACGCAGAGTGGAAAAGCAGAGAACTCCGCCTGCTTCCAAGCGCTGTTGGTCCGCATTGTGGACCTGGAAGTCCAGGTCCAGCTCCCCGGGCTCCAAGTGGCCCCCATGTCCCCTCTGCCTTCTCAGAAGGCACCATTCCCGTCTCCTCTAATCCCCTCTGGCAACTTCTAAGTGTTTGTTCGGTAGAAGCTGCTTTGGAAGGAGTTTTGAGAAGGAACCGGACAGCAAGCACAGCACCCACGCGCTCTCCCTCGGGGCCAAGACGCCTCTTACCTTGAACGTGCATCAGAAAGCCCAGCACCGTGACACAGAAGAGGCCCCAGCGGCTCTCCATCCTTGGCGGCCAGCAGGAAGGAGCCTCCGTGGAGGCCCCAGCCCAGCGGCTCGTGAGATCTGGCCCTCCCGGACCCCACCCTCCGTGTGTTGACTTCCTGTCTCTCAGCTTGGAAGGAAGGGAGGCGACTTTCCAAGCGGAAAGTATGAACGAAGCTGCAATCCCTTTGCCAAAAGCTAATGAGCCCTGTGCTCAGATTCCAAACCCCACAGCCTAGAGCCCGTGAGACAAGTGCGTGCGCGCTGAAGGCCGACCCAGGCCTCCCAGAGCTGTGCTCGCCAGCCAACACTCAGCACGGCAGGGAATCAGGCACCACCTGGCGCCAATGGGCATCCTCCGCTTTGGGAAGCTGGGCACACCTGCTCGGCAGCTCTGCTCCCTGCAGGCGTGGGAGGCGCCACGAGATCAAAGGCTGGCCAACTCTGAGCACAGGGAGGACGCTCCCTGCCCACAGATTTGTAGATTCTAGGCTTGCTGCTTCCCAAGAGTAGGACTTCAGATGAGTTCATGCATTCATTCCACAAACATTGTGTACGCACATCTGTTCCGAGCCAGGCCCAGACTAGGTGCCGGGGCTGCGGTGCTGAAGAACGAATCGTTTACAAAGGGGAGGGGACATTGAAAGTTAAACCAGACGATGGCAGTGTGACATTGCATAATGCAGGGATGCACACAGAGGCCCTGGGGGGCGCCTGGCAGGGTCTGAACTCAGCCGGGCATGGCTTCTAGAGAGGGTGGTGGCCTCTCTAGAAGGTAGATGATTTTAAAAGCTGAGCAGGAAGGACACGAGATGGCAGGGACAGAGCGTTCGGGCAGAGGAAGGTGTGGGGTAAAGGTACTCGGTAGGAAACAGGAAGCCCAGGGCCACTGTGAGGGACAACTCTAGGGGGCGCTGTGCACACCGCCAACTGTTACAGACTGAAGGTTTGTGTCCCCCCAAGATTCATAGATTGCAGCCCTATCTTCCAATGGGATGGGATTGGAGGTGGGCCCTTTGGGAGTGATTACACTGAGATCAGGTCATGATGGTGGGCACCACGATGGGATTTGTGTCCTTACAAGAACAGGGAGAGACACCACGTGAGGACACGAGGAGGACACGGTGTCTACAGCTCCAGGAGAGAGGCCTTAGGAGGAACCAGCCTCGGCCCCGCCCGGATCTCGGACTCCCAGCTTCTGCCCCACCTGGATCTCAGCCTCCCAGCCTCCAGGAGAGTGAGAAATAAGCGTCTGTTGTTTGGAACCGTCCCGACCTTGGCATCTTGTGCTACCAGTACAGACGGACGACCATGCCAACTAGGATGAGCGCTCTAGAGGTGAAGAGTAGCCATTATTTGCCTCATTCCTGTTGACGTAGAGTGTGACTTAGCTCATGTCCATGTGACAGCATCTGATAGAGACCTCAGGATATTCTGTACATCCTGCAGATGATACTTTCTCCGCTAAACCATTAGTTGTCCATGTAGGGATGGGGGTGTGGCATTTGGAGGTCAATGGTGTTGCGCAGTTGACCCTGGGACCCCTTCATTGCTTTGTGGGCCATCAGAATAGGGAATGCATTTGTCCCGATATTTATGGACTTTGTCTGATTCTGCGTTTATGGAGAGTCCATATTCCAAATTGAAATATGCCATAGCCAATGTTGAAAGTAGCCCAAGGTCCACTGTATTTTGTGTCTCATTTTGTGCCACAGCAAAGGGAGCTAATGACCGTGTGGAATGGAGGGGCAGGACGTCTTCAAAGGTATCTTATGGCTGTTCCTTCCCCCCAAAACGCTCAGGACCATGAAACATCTGAGTTGGGCCTTCAAGCACAAGTACAAATTTGATGGAGAGAAAGGGAAGGGAGAACATTCCGGGTGAGCAAAGCAGGATGTGTGGACCTCTTCTGCGCTCTTGAGTCTTGTCTTCGATAATAAGGTCTGTGCTGGGTCCGTTGAGGATTAAAATGACAACCGGCCAGGTCTTGACTTTGCTAGTCCTGAATGCTGTATAAAGATTTCAGTTCTGCAGGCTGGGGGGACCCCATTGTACATGTCATCAGGGGACGATGGACATGGGGACCTCGTGGGAAGAGAAGCCCAGGAGTGGCCAGGAGATGAGTTACAGAAGGGGCCGAATTTGACGCAAGGAGGTCACAAAAGACATTGATGTCATGCTGGGGGAGGTGACATCGGCAGAGGTGGGCAGATTTAACGGTCATGGGGTAAGGTGGTTTCAAGCAGTCTTTAGAGAAGGAACTAATGGAAACATGGTGCCCATATTCAATCACAAATGGACCTTCAAAATATTCTTCTATGGATCTGGAGAAATTTCAATCACTAGCATATGGCAGAGCTAGGATTCAAAACCAGGCAGGCTGGGGGCGTCTGGGTGGCTAAGTCAGTTGAGTGTCTGACTCTTGGTTTTGCCTCACGTCATGATCTCAGGGTCATCAGATCGAGCCCCGTGTGGGGCTTCCTGCTCAGGGGGGAGTCTGCTAGGGATTTTTTCTCTCCCTCTACACCTCCACCTGCTCCTTCTTTCTCCCTCTCTCAAATAAATAAATCTTAAAAAAAAATTAAATCCAGGCAACCTGAGTCCAAGGCTCGTCCCTCCTTAACCTGCCCTGTTGATTCCTGGCCCAAAGCATGCATTCAAAAATCACCTGTTAAGTTAAACTGAGGGGAAATCGGATGAAGGTGCCTGGCAAAGGGAACAGAGGTGACCATCCAGCCGTCCGTTTTCGGTCCAGAGTGGGTCGGGTTGACCCCCAAAATGAGAGAGAGAAGCCAAGAGTGACGTCCGGTGCTTGGCGTCAAGAGAAAACTCTTGCTCGGGACGGCTTGGCTTTTCAGGGAGTAAGGAGGGCATCTGTTTCCCTGGTTTCATGAGTATTCTTCTCATCTCAAAGACTCCAGTCTGTCACCCATCAACTGTTTGGCAATGATGCGCTTGGTGTCAAGCACAGAGGTGGACTGTGACAGAGCTAACTCAACAGGCACCCTGCCCTTGGGAGATACACAGATCGGTGTTTTCGGCTGAGTTGTGTCTCTCCCAAAAGGTATGTTATGGTCCTAACCACCAGGAACTCAAAATGGGACCTTATTTGGAAAGAGGGTTACTGCAAATGTAATTAGTTAAGATGACCCGGGTGGGTCCAGAACAGGATCATCACATGGATGATCCAGGTGGGCCCTAAATCCAATGACACTGGAAGACACCGAAGAGCAGAGACACACACACAGAGGAGAAGCCACGTGAAGACGGAGGCAGAGAAGGGAGGGACGTGGCCACCAGCCCAGGGACACCTGGAGCCCCAGAAGCTGGAAGAGGCAGGAAGGACCCTCCCCAAGAGCTTCAGGAGAGACTATGACCTTGCCCCGCCTGGATCTCAGCGGCCCTGCCCCGCCTGGATCTCAGAGTCTGGTCTCCAGAGCTGGGAGAAGATGAATTCCTGTGGTTTAAGCCACCTGATTGGTGATTCTTTGTCACAGTAGGAACGGGACATTCGTAGAAGTTCCTTTCTTTGAAAGAAAAGAAAAAAAAGGTACTAAGCATAAACATTTTGCTTCTAGCACAGAAATAACCCCCCAAGCCCCCACATGCTATGTATCAGCGGACCATCACCCCTGCCACAATATCAAAGCCTCATCACGTTAATCAGCACCGTTGCACAGAATTACACTTGTACCTCTCTTGTGTTGTTGCAGGGCTTCCCACCCCCCATCCCCTTTCCATCAGCATTTGGATTCAGACACAAGGTTAGAGTTGGAGCCAAACCGAATGCATTTCCAAAGTGCCCGTCACTCCTCCCTGACACGCTGACCCGAGTGAAAAAACACAGGCACTCACCTTAAGAGCAATTTCCGGGACACAGAGCCCAGCTTCCCCATGGCCGCCCCGAGGTGGAGAATGAATGGCGGAAGAAAGCGGGATGATCCCACCAGATGAATAGCGCAATCAGCCGCAGAAGCACTCAATTGCCTGGAAGAGGGTAATTATCCGCTCTGCCCTCTCCGGGACCATTCAGGATGGAAACCAAGGGCTGGAGCTTTTAAGCTCCATCTGACTTTGCGAAATTTGCCCTTCTGTTTCTTTCTTTCTTTCTTTCTCTTTCTTTCTTTCTTTCTTTCTTTCTTTCTTTCTTTCTTTCTTTCTTTCTTTCTTTCTTTCTTTTTCTTTCTTTCTTTCTTTCTTT